TCGCAGAATCCAATGGTTTCTCCATAGGAGCTGAGAAAGGATCGAAGTCGTGTTCGTCCATCTTCTTCATCACGAGCGTGGAATTCCATGACAAACAATGTCAATGACTTCGTCATGGTTAACGTTTGGTTGGGTCAAAAGGTTGTAGACGAGGAAGTTCATCGGTGTTCATCCGACTGAGGTGTTGACATAAGCCCGAGTAGACATATCAGCAGGCTTACGCATCTTGCGGCGCATGAAGCGTTTCTGCTTTTCAAGCCTTTTAGGGACAGACCCCTTCGATACAGGCATTTATGCCAAACGTAATGTCAGCGTCGTCCAAAGAAGGCTGCGGAGCTGCTCCGTTCCAGGCAGACCTGCAAACGTGCTTGGAAAGTGGCTTCGTCTTCACCACCACGTATGTCGCGTGGAGGAATGCCGTTGACTGCAAACTGGCGCAAGGCATTCCAACGTACGTATTCACGGTGGCCTGCACAGCTAGATTCGTAACTGCCCTTTGCAGAGCTAGAAGTCATCTCCTTGGGAGGTTATGTTTGTCGGTGGCGTAGCAATGGCGAGCCAAGAAGACCTTCCCATGCGTCCAGCCCACTTGATGGTTGACGTGGAGTTCAGATCCATTGATGATTTGGACCTTGAAGGTGTACTTGGCGCTGTTAGAATCTGCTGGAACAGTGCGAAGTTTGTGGTGGTAGAGCGAGGAATCGTCGAGTTTCGCATTCATCGTCGGGGTCGATGGAGGAAGGATTGGTTTGTCGCGCAGCTTAGACTCGAAGCTGGTATATGCGTCTTTGGCATCTTTCATGGTGAGGAATAGGTGAGGGTAGCTGAAAGCTATTGCATTTTGTTAACAAAATGCACTACGCTAAAAGCTAGTGTAAAGATCTTTCGAGTGTTTTGAGTTTGAGAGAATGAAAGTTATGTAGAGAATTAGAAAGCTATGAAAAACTAATCAACGAGAGAGATCCACAAAAAAAGGATCGTAGATTGAATCCCGCGGGAGACTGTAAAGTGTGTAGAGTAGTTGCGGTAGCTCCTACTCACTCCACGATCCAAAAACGGACGCGTGGAAGATTCGTCTAGCAATTTATCTAGTAGCGTGGAAGTACTCCACGCTGGCTAAATATCTAGAGCGATGTTTCATCATCAACTAGTATGACTAGAGCGGTCATTGAGAACCCTGTCTCAATGACTATTCACGAGGAGACTCAGTCATGAGTCGAACTCAAACCCTATCTAGGATCGAGTCGCGAATAAGGCTAAGAGCCGTGTATTGCACTCTTTGTAGTTACCCATTTTGAATAGTACATTTGCAACATTGTTGTAGCTGCTTCCCACATCGGGATGATTCTTGCCCAATAGAGATTCATGAATGGTAAGGGCGTCCTCATACTTTGACAAGGGGCCATCAAAGTCATCCATTCCTGGAGTACAGAACCAATATAGTGGTACTAGGTGGTTGCTATTATTGCATGGTTCTTACCACCACCCAATACTGACTCTTCAATAGCAAGGGCTTGATTGTACTTTGACAGAGCACCTTCTACAACACGAATAAGAGCATGATAGCAGGCAAAATACACAAGCTTTCTCAGAAGTCCTCCATCTCTTCAACTGCCATCACATATGCATGCATGATTTCTTGCAACCATTTGCCTTTTAAGCTAAGGAGGGTTCCCGTGACGCCAACACTTTCCATTAAAGCGTCGTAATGTCGTCAAGATGCCATCCAATGGTAGATTTGTTGCTGGAATGTTCGCCGTCGCGGGGATGGCCAGAACCGGTGGTGGAGTGCCCGTGACCCATGCCTTTCTTGCAGCTCCTCCTGGGCCTACGCGGCCAAATTCCACGATTCCCGTCGTGACAAGATTGCCTGTGGCATTGTGTGTGGCACACCAAGCCATCATTCGACCATTCTCAGCAGTAGTAGTATCAAAAATCTTGTATGAGAATGACGCACTCTGCTCCTGGAACATGCGAAAGTATGAGGTTGGCACGGGCGTTGAGAGCATTCTCATATTGTGACTGTCCAACTTCCGCCAGAAGGGGAAAGCCAGGCATGTTGCCGATAACTTTAACATCAGGAGTAATGTTTTGAACTCCAGCTGCTGTCTCCATCTCCCCCAGGGCAACCCCAAAGGCCGGGAAGGCAGCCTTCAGCGCATCAGAAAGAGCCAATCGAGTGCTACCGTGGGACAGGTAGCAACCTTCTCTCTCGAAGAAGCAAACAGCGATCCTCAACATCATAAGAGACTCGAAGCCCCGTTTCCGAATTCCCAAGCCAGTCATTGTATTTTTCGAAGGAAACATCTCGTCCAAACTTTATGGGCAACTCGCCCTTGTTGCAATATCCAATCAGAGTGGAGACACCTTCCTCATCAGGCAGAAAAGCAACCTCCACACGCTGAATTCCAGGAGAGTTTGGAGCACTAGCTGAAGAAGCAGGATTGACTCTGCTCGGTTGTGGTGAGTCTGCGCTCATTTTATGGTCGGGTTGTTTGTTGTTGTTGTGTGTCGGTGTCGCAGGTTGTTGGTTGTTTGTTGTTGCTGTGTGTCGGTGTCGCGATCTACTGCGTGATTCAAGAGTATTCAACAGACGTGATGGAGTGTGCTGATGCCCACTGGCAGCTGCTGCATTGAGCGACCGACTACGTCGTGTGTTGCCGCCCGGTATCATTCATTCCCTCATTGCAACCTTCTTTATTAAGCTAGCCCTGGCGACAACACCGGACTACGTCGTGTGTTGCCACCCGCTACTCTATAATTTACCAGCTGCCATTCCCTTATTGTAACTCTAACCTTTACAGCTCCTGCTGGCTTATTGTGCTGTTGTGCTGATTGCACTAACCTTAAATATTAATGATTTATTCCTACCCCTAACTTGTATTGAACCATCAATGTTCAGTTTTGTTGGCTTATGACTATCTCTATCCTTATACTTTGGCTTCACCAGAATAGGAATAGGAAACAGCATTAAAGGGGTTGAGAACTCAGGCAGTTTACCTGCCGAGGTTAAAGGAGGATAATACCATCACCAACAGCACTACTGCTGATTGTGTTAATAGAAAGGTTGTTGTGTAGGTGTTCCTGAAATAGTTCAGCAAGGGTAGGGTCTCTTAGATTGGCTTGGTTGTTGTGTTGTGCTGCAATGGATTTGGGTGATCAAAATGGGTGGTTTCCAGTTCCGGCCGATTCGCTAATTCGTTGCGAAAATCGCCGGATAATGGAATTTCGAAATCGGAAAAAAGGAACGGAGTGTAAAAAGTGTTAAACTGTCTCTTTTGTATGGCAAGGATTTAATGAAATCATGTTGGAGGCAATTTATTCCATGTTCGAGAATCAACCTAATTCGGCTGAATCAACCTAATTAGGTTACCCTGGCTCATCAAAAAGGGGGGTCTACTATCGGTAGTTGGGATGTTATCTATGGATGGAAGAAGCCGGCGGTGGGCCAGGCCTGAGCGAGCAGAGTAGACTCTAGAGGCCCAACTCAGGACTACCGGTAGGCTCCGTGGGACTGGCCAAGGACTCAGGACAACGGGCCAACTCTTCGTTGCGGCTGGTTGGCATCACCTCGCTTGGTATTGTCGTCCATGAGAAGCAATAGCAGCGCAAGAAACACTCAACTCGTGATGACAGCAACTAAAAAGGCGCAAGATTCTTTGTCGACGAGATCGATGCCCGGTCGAGTGATCCAGCTGCATGCTGGTCAAGAAAACTCACCCAGCCACCGCTTCAAATCGGGCACGAAACGATGGCTCCTGCGATATCATTGGACTGATACAAGCAGGCTTGAATGAACAACCCCATCACATCCGCGCACACGATACCAAACGATTCGGCCACACTGGTGGTTGCCAGGGCAAATTCTCGTCGATCCACAATGTCAAAATCGGCACAGATTCGTTTGTACCCGTGCACGTAGACCCCACCTCCCAACAACCCCACGTAGAAACAGCAGGGAAGGAGCATGGCGTAGCTGTAGAACACGTGGTCTGCCGCCACAAACGCAAAAAAGACTACATTGAGTGCTTGGAGGGTGGGCATGATCCACAACACGGACATGGGTGCAGCGGGTCCAAAGGCCCCCGATGATCTGGATATAAAGACGCCAGCCTGATACATCCAGTTGCTGTACTCGTAAAACTCATTGCGGGCTTGTTGACTTTCGACGGGGAATCCAATCGCCGTCCACGTTCCAGCCTGCAAGGAGTATTCCGTGGCGTAAACCACAAAGAGAGGTATAATGTAGGGCCACAGTTGCTTGACCACAAACTCGGATCGTTCCGCGGTGGTCCATTGGCTCACCGGTTTTGGTGCTTCTTCAACGTCTGGTGCCTGATAGACAATAATCTCGGGAGGCGATTCCAAGGCCGAATCATCTGGTTGACGACAACGCAGGGCGGAAGTGTCACGTAGCTTTCCAGAAGAAGAATCCATAGAGTCGACCTCCGTCTTTTCAGTTGCATGCATGCTGCCGTTGATAGTCTTGGCTACCGATACAGGAGGAAACGTGTTCATTTCCAAAGGCATCAATTCCCCAGCTCCGGGAGTTGCTGCTTTGACTGATTTCTTCAAGTAAGGATGCAACATCTTCCAGTAGATGTAAATGTACAGTAGTGACAGTGATTGCGCCAACCACAGCGTAGTTCTCATGGACAAGTTCATCCATTCGTTCCAGATAAACTTCCAGAAAAAGCCAAAGACTCCTGCCAAACCAGTGCCGGATGAAAAGGCACCAATGCATCGTCCCGAAGCATCGCATTTGCCGGCAGCTGCCAACAAGGAGGACTCTCCCAAGCCCGTATGGACACTGCAGAGAGCCACTCCCAGCAACTGCACACCTACCGAAGTGCCGGAAGCGACCATGCCAAAGCTCAAAACCATGGTCCAAAAGGCAATCAGAATTCGATGGTAATAGGACACGTGATCAAACCAGTAGGGTGCGGACAGCTTGACACACATGGCCGGCAGTACATTGGCCAAGAACACCAAAGCAGTTCCTCCTTCACTGATGGTTTTGGCAGAGGCAATCATTATAATGTACGCAGCGTTGTTCAACAATCCCAACAACCAAAAGGCCAGAGCCAACATTGCCGGGGGCTGTTCTGTACCGGTAGTAGTTTTGGCTGCAGGTTGAGGACAATCGTCAATGGACGCGTAAGAGGCCGTGGGGGGGGAGTGCATTCTTACTACTTGCTTGACAAAGAAATAAATCTAGGAGGATGGCTCGTACCTGACCGAATGAGTGAATGCACGAACAACTAGCTGGGAGGAGCTGGTCCTCTCCTCTGGCTTCCGCAACAAACTGTTTTTGGCTTGGAGATTTCGACCTCGTCGTGTTCTGTGCCCTGATTTTGGTTCTGTGCCAAAAGGCATTGGCACAGCGTCCACAGTACATCGTAGCCAGAGACATCCTTCCTTTGCAGCTTCCGCAAAACAAATAAATGACAGCTGCAGCGCCATCGGCATCGTCGATCGCCACCGCCCAGATCTTTTCAACTGGGATAAAGTTCTGGCTAGCTAGAAATCAAATCGAATTGAAAATCGAACGATCTATTCGATTGGATTCGATTCGATGATTCGATTCAGCCCTTCGACACACAATGTCATGCACAGCGGCAGCTACCACCGGTACTGGCGAAAATAAATACTAAATAGATACGTTAAGGAGCGAGGGGGGGCGAGGCGAGGCAAAGCAGTGGCTGCGGTGGTGGGTGGCTGGTGTGGTGGGCATACGGGGAGAGCAATGAGGACGCGAGCAGGCAAACAAGGGGGCAGGGAAGGGGGGTGCATGGAGGAAAACCAGGAAGGACAAGGGAGCAAAATTAGCGGAAGAGTGCAAGTGCACATCGGCATCCCAGAGAGAACGACGGTAGCTCATTGTGCCAGCAGGGACACGAGAGCCACGCATGCAGAGGTGGCGGGCCCGAAGAATAGCTAGGCTGAGCCGAGCATTAACGTAGCCACGCACCACTGAGTAAGGGCGTTCCCACTTTGCAGCGAGCAAACGGAAATACGTTCGCGAGTGCCTCAGCTTCGGCCCAAGGAGACCATCAGCAGAGACAACAAACGGAGTAAAGTGGCGGCGTTGGAAAGACAGGCGTCGAGATACTTGCGTTTCTTGTCACGTTCGCCATTGCGAAGGACCTTTCAGGATCCTTGCGACAGTGAGAAGCAGCATCAAGATTGATGACACGAACATCAATTATGCCGTCAGTTCCGCGTTGCCAGAGGCCACGGATAAGGAGATACCTCGTTCCTCGGATGGGGTGAGAACTACAGGAGAGTCGCTGGAAGGCGAAGCATCCGTAGCTGCAGAGCGACTAAGTTGGATACGGGGTTCGTCGCGACTGCAGATGGGATGAATGCCTTGGCAGCGAGATCACCGAGTTCATCACGCACTTCATTGTGGCGTTGGAGAACCAGACCGCCCTTGGTACAGGAAAGGGCGTGAGTGACACTGAAGCGCTCTCCACAGCCATCACAGTGGCTGGGAAGATCAGAGGGGCTCCGATCGTAGCGCAAGTGCAAAGCATCGCGGAATTCCTGGGCAGCGAGAACAGTGCCATTTTCTGGCACTGGAACCACATGAAGCCAGGCGCCAGTCTCCGGGGCGCTTCACAACAGAACGACTGGAACGTGGCAAGGTGCCTAAGTGCACCAGCAGCTACGACTGTGCACCAGCCATCCCAATGATGGACTGTTCGTTCCTTATTCGGAATAGGATGCTGAAATATCCAAAACTCTGATTCTGCGTTGTCAACTTGTTGGTAAACAACATTGGCTTCAACCTCGTAGAAGAATCGGTGTCGCATTCACAGCTTGTTGTCAGCGGAAACCAGCCATCTCCCCAGGGGTACATCCAAAGTCAGGTTTGGAGCAAACAGAGCTAAAACGCTTTCCTCCATAACCACGAAGTCTTTGGATTCCTGGGTCTTTCCTGAAACCATTAAAAATAGGTGGTACAGTATGGGGCATTAGAGGACTGGAAAACCCATGCCAGAACTCCTCCCAGATATACGTTCCACACAGGCAGTGGCGATGTCAGCGACAGTAACCACCTGGAAGTAGAGCCTCACGTAGTTGATACGTTTCAAATCGGCCCCAGAGAAATTCCCATACCAGCCGACCCAGTCCATAATGTAGGAGTCATTCTCGCGCTACAAAGGTGGAATGTGGGCATTGTGCATCTCAATGGTGCCGCCCACTGATTTGAGGAACCTTCTGATGCACTGGAATAGGCCAACTGGTAAATGGCAGTCAATCTCCAGATCTTCCAAAATCGGTCAACCAATGCCAGTGTGAAACTGAAACCAGGCATAAGTGACTTGGCTCAGATCACCAACATACCAACATCAGTGCAACGAGTTCCCGAGTGTTTCAAAAACTGCTGAATGACCCCAATACTACTCGGCAGCACAAATGTGGACAGTCCTCATTTACTACTTAGTTTTCAGAAAACAGATCACCTAACAACATCTAGCTAGTAGAATCAACCGTTACACCTTGACATTATAAATTATGACAGACAACAGACCTGTTTTTTTCTTTTTTATTGTGTTCAATGACTGACAAAACGGAAGAATACGTAATTGTCCTCTAGCACGGGGTGTTTCTTTGGGTCACGGACATGCTCAAAAAGGTTGACGCCAAGGTTGATTCCCATGACCAGTGCTTCCGTTCTTGATTTTCCAGTCAATTGTACCAAGACATCCACAGCTTCTCGCCCGACAAAGCAATTCTTGTACTTTTCAAATGATATTTTCGGTTCTTGACTTTGATGCTTGCTCGAAAGGCTTGGACGAACTGAGCATGAGCAATCTGATCATCAATCGTTGCGGTATTTGGAGGCTCTTCCGAGGATGAAGCCAACTCGGAGGAGGGCTGACGAAACTTGAATGGTTGGGCGCTTTGCTGCTTGAGATTCTGCTGCTGTTGTTGCCTTAGTTCGTCTTGGAGACGTTTCATCTCTTGTTCCAATTGGGACACGCGTTCCAACATTTCTGGATCTTCATCAGTGGAGGCAATGGGACGTGCCTCTGGGATGGAAGCCTCCTCCTCTTCCTCCAGATCCATGTCTTCCTCATCGGAAGAATAAAGAGTGAGATCGGAACTGACGGTACATGCAGAAGAGCAGCTCATGCGGCTACCCATGGCTTGCACCCGGTTTTCAATTTCCTGTAGTCTACAGGAAGCAGCATCGTCTTGGATGACCAGCCTGGCAGAGATGGCCGTTAGCTCGAAGTCGAGTGCTTCGTTGAAAAGAGTTGCCGTAGTACCGGTACAAGAAGCAGTACTTGTAGTTGGTTCCTTCGAAAGAAAAGCAGCAAACGAGGGCTCAGGACTGGAGCTCCTACTTCGATACCGGCAAGGGATTCTCCGTGCCGCAGTAGCTCCCGGTGCCTCGCTGTACGCTCCAGGAAGCGCTGCTGGTGCTGCTCTTTGGCTATGTGTGGAGGTTCTTCGCAGTGGTCCGCTTTGACTCCGCACGGCGGCAACCTTTAACAATTCGTCCGAGGTCAATAGTGACTGATCCGATTGATCGAGTTGAGAATTACATTCCCATAACGTAGGTCTCCGAGGGGATAATCGTAATCTCCCACCAGCAGCTCTACTCCTTTTAGGAGAATTCGAGTGTGCCCGATGACAGCTGGGAACCGCGGGCACAGCGACTTGAGCGCTAGCTGCGCTAGCTGCACTAGTTCTTCTGTAGGGAGTCGTCTTCTTTTCGTCATTCTGTTGGTGAGACTCCATGATGTTATGCTGTGGACTGTGTAGTGTGGAGGATGGTTGTGTTTTAGCAGGCAAGCAGCAACGTTGGCGCAATGAGATTTGTGTGTTGTTGTTAATTAATGCTGCGTTTGCAACACGTCAAACCTTGGAGCCTATCGGTGTAATGAGTAAAGTGATACAACGAGAGTTACACCGAGACAGCTAGCTAGCTACCGAGACACTGAGACAAGACCGGATAAGCTACCGGAGACTATAATAGTACCGGTACCAAAAGCCCACCTTCCGGTTCTACGATTTTGCAGGTTAATCTGATGGAGTTGAAGTTGTTAAATCCTGGAATCTCTTCAGACTCTTCCGGCATCGTTCATCCAGCTTAACATTCTTTTTACCATGTCTGACCATTGAGGAGGAGAAGTGCGAGTACTGTTGAATTCACATTGTCCAGAAAAGGGAACTCAACACTATGGGGGGGGGGAATCGAATCAGGAGCTTTCTTGCTTTCTTTGGTGGTTTGGCACGGTGGTCAGGTGGTCAGCGCATTTTCCAATGGTGAGGAGTGAAGAGGAACAGCACTGGTGCGTTTGTTGACAAACTACGAGTACATGTATGTAGCATGTAGCTCTAGCTAGCTAGCTAGTATTTGTAGTATTTAATTAAAAGAATCTTCTCACAATTTGACTTACTGGCATTACGGCATCACCAGTCACCAGATACAGCATTACCGAAACCTCTGCGAACTGCGAACACCATCAAACCAACACTAGCTATTAATAGACGTAAAGACGTATTGAAGCTGGAAGAGAGGCTGCCGCCATGCCGCTCAAGGATCAGAAGATCAGAAGGTTAACAAGGGCAAAACGAGAATAGTAAGCGAGACGAAGAGCAAAGAATAGTCTAACTAGCAAGAGCAACAAGGACAACCAATCATGGGAGAAAAACTAACCACCGATCCGATTGAGACCTTGGTGCAAGAAGCAGTGACAGCAGCCGCACTACATGTATCTACTGCACGAACAAAAGCAACCACTTTCAGTCTAGCTCCGGGAGAAGGAGACCAATCCAAGGCATGTGAGTTCTCTCAGGTGACTAAAGGAGCTGATATCAAATATGATGGTAGCACTGAGAAGCTACACCATTTCTTAGATTTCATCAAAGAAAGAGCAGATAATTCGGAATATCGATTATCCTTGATGAAGTAGCAGTTGGAAATAATGAAACCCGGTCCGTCATAGTCGAATATGGATGCATTACCGAGGAACAGATGAAAGCACACGCCGAAGCTTATCAGAAAGCAGATGAAGCTAGTAGGGAGAAACAAACAGCAGCTCACATGCTGATGTCTTTGATTGCCAACTCCGTTATGCCTAAAGTGTTCAATAAGCTCCAACAAAGAGAAGACAAATATACGGTGCAAGTAGTAACTCCAACTGGTTCGACTGATCAGGTCAATCGACGACGGGATGGAGCACTGATGCTTTATCAATTGATTTCAATGGTCTGCGACTGCGTAGATATCGGTACCAGAGCACTATGATAGTGTCCATCATATTGCCCATGCTCACAGGTCGAGCGCTCGCAAATAAAATGTTGGAAGTGGACTCCGACATTGAGGCATTTAAAATAGGAACATCAACAACCTCATCATGACACTAAGGGCACGGCAGCAACCAGTGCCTTATTTGCTTGGCTGGCCCTTTATTCGAGGCATATCAAGCATGTGAGGACAAAGCATTTGTGGGTTACATATAGAGCGAAAACAGTGGGGCTATGAGGATGGAACCATTGCTGAACTGGAGTATTCAGAGCTCATGAGATTGGCAGTCAACAAGTACAAGATCATTTTAGGCAGGAAGGAATGGAAGAAGAAATCAAAGCAAGAGCTCGAGATCATAGCTCTGAAGGCACAGCGGGAACAGCTCACTCAACAACAAAAACAGCTGCAACCAGCCTCAAGACGAAAGCGACAGAATAACAAAAAACGTAGGTGAATTGGCATGGAATCAGTCCATAGCTCAAGAGGAAGGAGGCAGGACCGACCGAGAAGAAGTTCAAGAATAAGGAATATATCTACCGTACTGCCCACATCATGGAGCAACCAAGGGGGTACTCAAGGTCAACCGATAGAGATGAGTGCTTGCATACAAGCAGCTGCATGGCAAGCATACATGTACAACACTCTAGCTAGAGTCTGAGCCGACCGCAATAATGACGGCACGATCACCACGACCATCGTGGAATCTTTTCAAGCGGAAGTGCAGTCGATGAGTGGCCGAATAAATTCGAATAAAACCGAATTGAAAGATCCAACTGCCATCATGCACAACAATAACCATGGGAAAGATCTTCCACAGACTGCTACTGTATCACTGGTGCTAATATATTGATGATGATAATGATCAGTCGAATAATAGTTGGACTGTGTGCGATTGGTCACTTGCTTATTGGCCTTGGAATCGGGTGGGGCATTGGACCCGTGGAATACGATCCCGAGGCTTTCTTTGTCCGAAGTACCATGGTTGGCAAATTGGAACCTGGATTGGAAACACTCTTCCCGCGACTCTTGGGATGTCTCTATGCTTCCTTGGCCATGGGATTGTTCTACGCTCTCATAATCGTCACCACGGCGGGTAGGGATGAAACCAATCAGCATCATCAAGTCTTGAGAGTATCCTTAGTTCCCTGCATCTTTTATCATTTTGGAGCTGCCACCGATGCCATGAACCTGTTCCGGGAAGACGCGGGTGCCATTAATCCAGACAAGCTGGACCCCAACGAACCCGCCATTGGGCATTGCTTCTTTCTCGTCCTGAGTATTGTTGCCTTTGTCTTGGCGGCGGGAACAAAGAGTTCTGCTACTAGAGCCAAGGAAACGGCTGAAAACGTAGAAGAAAAAGTCAAAATCTATTAACGGATTCAGACAAGGAATGCTTGAAGACGAGGCATGGGCCAAGGCCCAGGTGTTTTCCACATTCAAGTCTGCTCACCGGCCACACTGACCTCCTGAGAGGGTAGAGTGAATCAATCGCTAACAGTTAGATAGGACGGCGACAGTTGGCTTACTAGCTCGTGGGCGCAAGCGCTTGTACCAACCCGTGACGGCCAATACTACGGTAGACAGGTCCACTCTAGCTCTCGATTCCCCGACAAGATGGATGCCCCAATGGAAGATGCCAATGATTCCTCGCCCGTCGAGAACAAGCTAGCATAAAGATGGATAACCTCGGTCATTTATATGGAAGAGACTTGGGACGAACGAAACAAACAGGAGACCAACTCTGCAAACAGCGCAACGTCCCGCCTTGCCTCAAAGTAAGTAAGCAAACAAGTAATCAACACCCCAATCTGTGGCAAATGCGCCGGCTGGGTTCGAGACCAAATCCGACAATTCCAAAGACTGGCCCAAGAGTGCCTCGTGGCTCCTATTGGGTCCCCAAGATTTCCGGACAAGCTGGCCTCGCCATGGCATTCTTGGGGTGCAAGTTGGCATTCCCTGCAACTGAGGGAGGACCTCGATGACAACATGTGGACTGCCATCGGAACAGAACAGCGGAGACCACGGGTATTTATTTCTGGCATTTACGCTGAACTTCTACTTTTGGCGTCCAAGGCAATGTTTGCGGCTCTTTCCCCGAGATTGAGCCACCAGAAATTGGAAGAACCGAGATTCACCAGAAACCAAGTACGTCCATACTCATTGTGTGGTTCAATGGTACGACTTTACCGTCAAGGCGAAGACATCATGGCCAAGATATTGTCGGACAACGCGGCCAACCTGGGGCAGCCAGGAGATGTGGATGTGAAGCCAACGACGACACTTCTAAGGATTGTGCGGCAGGCAGAGTTCCTTTTACGATACGAGTTTCGAAATGGTTCAAGCCAATGCTCAACAGTTCCGGTAGCTAGCTAGTGATTGAATCATTCAGCCCTAATGATCAAACGGCTCAATTCTAAGGTAACAACAGCTACGCCGTAGTGACCGCTGTGGTTACGGGTTAGGAAGCTATCGTACTGTAGGCGCCCAACTCGAGACTGACTGAGACTCAAGTTGTGGGCATCAAGTAGTTTTTGGTGATGCTGTTTCGTTCTGTTGCTAGGCAGGCTATTCCTGCAAGATGTTCTTGTCTTTTTGATATCCTAATTCTTAGTTTTGAGTGTGGCTTGCTGCCATGCATGTAGTGAGTGAGTAGCTGCGTAATAAAGCTTCCCTCGATTGAATCCTCCAACTTCTGTCTGTCTGTAGATTGATTGATTGTCTTTTTGATTGTATTTTATATGACAGCACGCGGCAACTTGTAGGTTCCTTCCGGACATCGCACAATGACATCCTTTTGTGTATCAAATTTGCAAGATCGCAATTCGCACTTGCCCTTGAGTGTCTTGAATTTGTCGGGACAAGGATCCTGACAGGCATTGCGGACGGGAATCTTGCCCTTTGGGCATACGCCCTTGCCCTTTTTGCGTGCGGCGGCTTCGGTTCCCAACCGGGATGTAATCCGTGGCATGGTGACTCGTGCAATGGCTTGGGCTTGTCGTTCGCATGTCTGTTCGTCGGCATTGTAATAGAATTTTCCCGGCACGCCTTCGCCCACTTTGCATTCGGGTTTGGGACAATTGCCCAATTCGTGAGAACAGCAATACGCGCCATAGCGATGTTGTGGATTGCCATCTCTGTCAGTAGGCGGACATGTCATGTACTTGGGAGCCAACGTCATGCGTCGCAATTCGCACTGGCCATACGACGACGCGTAATTCTTGGGACATGTGGAATGACATTCGCCCTTGGTGCCCAAGAACAGTTGCCAATTCCCGTCGCCCTTTTGAAAACAAGTCGGTTTGATCTTGCGGTGGAACCGACGACGGCACCAGCCATTCAAATACTTGTACTCTTCCGGACAATCCGCCGTTTCAATCTCGCGTTGAAGCACAATGCGTTCGCGGACACACAATTCGCCATTGTTGTAGTATTCACCCACCACTTCCGGTTCCGACGGGCAGGACGCTAGCTGCACTGTAGCAGCGTCGCTCAATACTGACATCATCACGACAAGGGAAGTGACTACTACTAGTACGCGAGAAGAGAGACCCATCATCATGGTGTTTGCTTGCTTGCTTGATTCTATCGTCTGTAAAAGGATGGTTTTGTGTTTTGTACTTGTACGACTTGACCTTGGATAAATATATATATGAGAGCTTTCCGAAGTTTCTCCTTCCCACGTCGGAGTTCCTCAAACCGACAATCCAATGCTGTCGGATGGGATGCGAGGCAATTAGCCATTAAACCTCCAAAGTAAACGGACCCTAACGCTCTCCAGTCGCCAACTCTGTGAGTCGATACAAGTGTTAGGGATAAAATTTGTCAACGGTCACACATCGCGCTCCTCCCACAAACGCAAAGATCTTCCCGCTAATCCACCCGCCAATGCCCTCGTAGCTCTGGTACAGTTTCTACAGACGGAGAAAAGAAAGGTTCGAAATCCACTAGTTATTTAACGTGATAGGCCGATTCGGATTTCGAACTCTTACACATACGAATGAAATCGCTGGTAACGGCCTGATGTCAAGATTCAATCGTATTTTTCTACTAAAGCCTCTATAGTAAAAGTTACATGCGTCACTCATTTTCGAAAATCCATTGAATCGTGAGGCCGTTACTCAGAAATCCAATTGCTGGGATACTCCACCATACAAAAAGAGTACAATCCCATTTCACCGATTCTGGAGATTTGTATAAGGAATGTCTTATCGGACGTTCCGTGGATTTTCGGTGGATTCTCAAGGATTCTGAGATCATGTGTTATCATTCAGCGATCATGTGAATGAAATTTCGAAAGATGTGTATTGTTCGTACGATTGAATCGAACTAAACCATATCTTTTAGAAACAAATAGATTATTCCACATTCTGAGACAATTCCTATGACTATTTTGTTTGTACGAGAAGATGAAAAAATGTAATTGTTTCTTATGTAAAGGGTTTTTATCCAACGGCATATTAAGAGAGGAGAAACAGTCGGAACCTCTCCGACTTGACATCTCTCTGATGCACGAAAGAAGTAACCATCGATTTCATTTCCAGTCAGTTTTCCTCATTATTTTCCCAATCCAAAAGCAAGAACGAAACTATGCTCTTTTCGGTCGCTCTTCAGTCATCTCATCCAATCAAATTTATTCACCATGGCGTATTGCCGTCCATCAATCTTACCCACTCCCCGAATTTTGCTGGTTCGGGTTGAAGGGAACCAAGTTCCCATTTGCGTCTCGAATCCAAACCTCTTGTGCCGGTGGTTGCACCTGGGCCTGTGGAGCGGGTTGTGGAATGTATTGTTGCATCTGTGCCAACTGTGGTGCCGGCTGAATTGATTGCTGAAACTGTGGATACACGAATTGCTGTTGTTGTGGCATCATCAAGTTCTGCATCATGGCTGCCTGCTGCTGCATCGCCACCATTTGACTCCAACCGATTGGAATTGGGATAGAGAACTGTGGCTGCTGCTGCATTTGCATGGGCATGGGTTGCGGTTGATACATTCGCTGATCCATGACTTGATTAGCGGCAACCAATGGAGCTGTCGCTGTCCCCTGATTGAATACTTGATTTCCTGCAACTGGAGCCATCGCAACTGGAGCTGTCGCTACTGATTGATGAGATCCTGCCACGGAAACCATAGCGCCACCAGCTAAAGCAGGAGCAGATGCGACACTTGCCGTTGCCGACATCGTTCCCTGGGATGCTTGCGCCTGAGCCTGGACAAGCTCGAGCAATTGTTTCTTCGTCATCTTCTTCAATACCTTGTCATCGGGAATGGCGGATGGATCTTCGGTCAACAAGGACGTCTCTTCTTCATCTTCCGAGGGTGGAGTCAAGATTTCCTCTGGAACTGACTTCTTGGCGGCAGCCTTCTTGGATTTGCTTGACTTCTTCCAAACGGCGTCTTTTCCTTTTTGAGCTTGGCGCTTTGAGGCTCGCTTGGCGCGCGGCTTACCGCCACCGTCATCGGATTCTTCGTCTGAAGTTCGTCGAGGTGGGCGTGGATTTCCGTCTTCATCATCAGATTCCACGGCCAAGTCCTTGTCAGAGCACATCAATGCCTTGAGAGCAGTCGATCGACCTTCATCCACGAGACGTGCATAAGGGATCTGACTCTGTTCGCACTTGTGACGGGCGAATTTCAATCGAGCAGCCATCGGAACCCGAGCTTGATGCATCTTGGTGATTCCATATGCACGAAGACCATGATTCGTAAACTTCTCAAGATTCGTGACTCCGATGGTTGTGCCAAGTTCTTTGGCCATCTTGGATACGGTATTGTGGCCAAGATTGTATTGAGGGGTTTCACCTGACGGTTGGAACCAAATGTCACGATCCTTGTACCGGTTCGAGTGCACTTTGTGGTTGGTGAAATATTTCTGGTATTCTTTCTTCTGGGTTCCGGAGGCAACCTTGGCGAAGAACTTCTCGGCTTCCGGATGACACTTCGACAGATAAAAGTCGAAACACTTGAAGGCACACAGTGGATCACGAGGATTCTCGACGATTTCCAACCAGCGATCTTTATCCGAAAGAGCATTGGAATTGTAGAAATTCAGTCGATTGGTCTTATCCTCGGGAAGTCGGATTGCCAGATGCATACATCCAGCCAGGTCACCCATCTCGCGAGTGTACATCCCAGAATACGTATCCTGCATCATGAGACTCGACATTTCCTTACCTCCCCGAAGAAGAAACGATCGACCAAGGTGGAACACACAGACACGTTGGAGATCTTTTGGATTCGTCCAGGGTTGAAGTCGTCCGTCTTTGACAGCTTCGCGGATTTTCTTGTCTGCTTCCCAATCAATCTCCGAATGATGACTGCGAATTCCGAAGGTTGGATCGGTCTTGCGGATTTCTGCCCAAAACTGAATCATGACTCCATGGAAATCTCCTTTGGCATTGAAATCCTGCTTGAAGGTGTACTGGAATTTGTTGTGGGTCATGGATCTCCACTCGGTAAATACATTGTTGATGTATTGTGTGAAGACGGTGGGGGAGAGCGGCTTGCCTTTGTTGGTACCGGACAAGCACAACCATTTCATTCCGCACAAGATGGCACAATAGTTCAGGATTTTATGTTTGTTGCGATCTTTTTCTCCACATACCACGTTGAAGAAAGCATAGTTGGTTGAGTGGCCTTGGTCATAATCGACGGGAACTATCTCAAGAAGACTGTGCAAGACGGATCCTCCATGCTCTTCGATTGTCTTGAAGAATCGCTTTTGAAGGCTCTCACATTTCTTCTCATACTTTCTGCCTCGTCTTCCTTGGTCCTTGCAATTTTCTAGAAGCTTTTGCTCTTGCTCTGTCAAGTCCAAGGTGGTAAAATCTCGACCAACACCAAGAGCACTGGCAATCTCAGCAGCATTTTTTGGTGGATTTTCCTGTGTTGGAGTTGGATTTTGGGGAGACAATGAGACTCTGGCTGGAGCTGGTGCGGGAGGACCAAAGTCAATGTTGGACCGAAAGGCAAGAAGATTTTCCACAACCACACTGGTTCCTTGAGTCATGACAGGATGACGGGGTTCGTCCTCATACTGGTGGCCATCTTCCTCTTCCTCTTCCGATTCTTCTTCCTCTTCCTCTTCGGCTTGGAATGTGACTGCGGCTTCTTCCTCTTCCGCTTGGACTGTGACTTCGGCTTCTTCCTCATCCTCCTCCTCGCTACTGCTGCTACTGGTGTCTACGGGTGGAAGCGTGAAGTCATTGTCGGCAAGTGGGTTACGGCGATCATCTGTCACTTCTATTTCTTGGGTGGACGACGCAGAAGACATGATGACTACCAGTGACTACTAGTACTCCAGGACTCTCTAACAGTAGGGCTTATTTACTCGGGCTTTTGTCGAGTAGATTACAGACAAAGACCTCCCAGCCTCATTGACGGCTTTGATCTTGATCTGGTGTCTCGGCTGTCGGATTTTTGCCCTTGGGCTTCGCCCTCGTGCAAAAATCCTCCAGCCTCGACTGGATCCACGATCTCAGCCTAAAATCCGCTGGCTCGCGCTCTCGCGACGAATCGTGTCGGCTGCGCCTCCAAGAATTCTTGCGATCGCGCGCGCCATTGGATTTTCAATTTGCCGGGACGTTTTTCTACACAATAAGCTCTCCAAAGAATCGATCAAGTTTCAGAACGTCGCACGTATTTGAAAAACTGTTGTTGTGGCTACAGTGCACGTGCAAGATACATATACATCAAGATGGTACTGCTACGACAACTTTGCAAAAAGCCGCTTGTCCTGCTGGCCCTGGTTCACCTGGTAGTAGCTGGTACTACTAGTAGACGAGTGCCAACCCCTCCCATTGATCTCCTGGCTGATCCGGCCAATAACAACAACAGACATCTTCAAGAATCCTTCTTGGGTCCTGGCTTTAAGCGAACCGTCGTATTCAATGGAACCAAAAGTGGGGCCCAGTTTGGAACCAGAGTGGCCATGAATGCCGATGGAACTGTGGTAGCAGCCGTCGGTGAGGGATACGTGGAAGTCTATGAACTACTCGAAGACAGCAATCAATGGAAACTACGTGGCGGGAGAATCACGCTCACATCGGATGTAACCATACCCCGATCGATCGATTTGTCCCCCGATGGCAGGGTGGTCGCATTTGGACAACCCGAATTGGATCATCCCATCTACGGATCCAGGGCGGGTCAAGTGAACATTTACGAATACAACCGCACCAGCAACAGTTGGATTGCACGGGGAATTTGGGTGGGAACCAATCCCAATGATCAAGTGGGATTCTCCCTCGCATTTCACAAACCTGTGCCAACGACTCTTGATGATGGACAACAACAACAATATGGCAATGGAGATGTGTTGGCACTGGGTGTGCCTGGTTTTGAAACAGTGGGCGACCCAGGCTTTGAATATCCTCTGGGAGAAGTCTGGCTGCTGTTCTACAATGAAACATCGGGACAGTACGCTCTCAGTGAACAAGTACGGGCACAGAGTCTAACAGGACCTGCGGACACTGGAAGAATCGACTTCCTGGCATTTGGAAGCTCACTGGCTCTGACAGGGTTGGGGGAATTCGTGCTGGCCGTGGGAATTGATACATTCAATACAGAACTACGACCTGGAAGAGTGGTGGTCCTGGTATCAGCGATTGACACGGGTAGGGATGCTGACTTTGTTCTTTTGGGAAGTGAGATTGTTGGAGAAGGTGGAGGAGATGGCTTTGGCCAAGCAATTGCTATGAGTCAAACTGGGAGGGTCATTGCCATTGGAGGGCCACGCAATGATGGGAGGAATCAATTCCTATCGGGCCATGTTGAGGTCTATGGCTATGTGCAGGGAAATGATGAATTCTGGGTGCAGCTGGGAACGTAAGTACAACTCTTGTATGTATGCCTTGTCTTTTTTCCTTGCTTGATATGGTTTGGCATCCATCCATCCTCTGACACTTGTTCCTGGATTACCACCTCTCATCATGATTTAGTGATATTGACGGATTAAACACCAATGAGCAGTTTGGTTTCGCCATGGCTATCAGCTACAGTGGCGACACTCTGTTGGTTGGAGCACCCTTCAGCACACGAGATACTGGCTATGCAGTCCTTTTGAAATTTGATTTGGACAGCGAATCGTGGGAAGAGGTTGAGCTCAACCGCAATGCTGGTACGCTTATTAATGGAGGGGGTATCAGCCGTGTGGGTCATGGTGTGGCAATGTCTGCAGATGGAACAAAGATGATTATTGGAGCACCCTTTGCAACAACTGCATTGGGTGTGGGGTCGGGGACAGCTCAGTTGTGGCAAAACACACTGTACCCAACCTTTTCTCCCATTTTTAATGACATTCCAGATGTCAGTCGAAATGAGCAAGAAGACTTGTCGGTTGGAGGATTCTCTTGGTTGGTGTCAAATGTCAAGCAAGGTTGGACCTTGGGAGTTTCCTACCTGCAATCAGTCTTTGGTGTCTGAAGCAAGGAAATAGAAACATAGTAAACATGAACTGAATGAATCTTTGCCCCAGAATCCCATTGTTACTTCTTTGTGTTTGTCCAGTGGAAATGGACCAGGTACAGTAGGTACAGCCCCAGTTGTTTGGGTGGTCGAATGACTGCTACCTACATTCAAATCGAGTACGTTTCCAATGCTAAAGTCACCTTTGGTGATAATCTCTTACCATAAGTTTAGAACGACAAATGTGCTGAAACTGTGCCCAGCATGAACGGAACAGAGAGTTCAAGCATGAGAGATCACGTTCCTTTCGTGTGGCAGGTTGGGCGATGACAAAGTGGCGCTACAGTATCGAAAACTAAGATATCAAAAACCAATGCAGCATTGGAAAGAGACTCGAAATGATGGCCTTGGGAATTGCACCTTGACGTGGTAAGAAACCTAGCTTGGCATCAGAGATATCAATTGCGCTATCACCTTGGAGGGACCAAACCCTGGCTATCGGTAGCCAGATCATCCACACGAACAATAACCTAATGGTCAATGCTTTGGCAATCCATCAATCTGGCTCACGAAAGTTGGCATCCACGCGGTAGCACAACAAAGATCAATTTATTTACTGGGGTTAGACATAGAACATACAAGGCAATCTCGTCTGGCTGGTCTGGCTTAAGATGCGTAATTTCCAGGGCTTCATTGCACTCTGCTCTCTCCCTGCACCCCATCCTCCCCATAGTTCCCTCTAAGCCATTGAATCTTAATCTGATGGTGCACTTCGCTCCTAACCAAAGAAGAACACGGCGAGCCCCATCACTGCCATGAGAACAATCGTAACACCATGGGACAAGGAACCTGCAGTCTCAACCGTAACACTGCAATCAAGACCAGCATCCGAGTACACCTCGTTCACACTCTTCACAAAGTCCTCTTGAGTTTGCTTCAAAGCAACGCCATCACACCCCTGTGTCTGACAGTAGGGAATATTCTTTGCTTCTACCGTCTTGTCTGCACAAGTGGTGGACTTCGTCTGTTGCACGAACGTGGTATCCGTCACATTGCTGCATTCAGATTCCAACTGCTGGTACGCGGGGAACTCGGCAAAAGTCAACACTGCACATGCAGAAATCAAATACAACTCTCAAAGAAAGAATCGACACCAACGCCAGTTGGACGTTATTATTAGACCAAACGTTTCAGCTTTGGATCCTTCCGTGTTGGCCCAAACTTTTGCAATAGGTGCACTGTCATCAAGTTGGAGCACCTGTTGCTTTGGAACGGTTCTTAGGAACGGAACCGTGCACCGCTCAATCCAGCTGCCCACCTCGCAGGGCTTGACCCTTCCCATTGAATAGACGAATCTACAAGAGTGGTACCGCGGTACCAGGGCACTATCAACTGTGGTTGGCTATTGAAGAGGGCACGTACCGGTATGCATTAGCCTCTTCACACTTTCTGTGCTGCATCTTTATCCTTTCAGGGCATCGTTTGTTTTTCTTTCCACTTGGTGGTTACTTGGTTTCTTTGCGCATCATGATCGTAACTTGGAAAGGTCTTCTGCTCACACTGGTCCATTCAGTGGCCGCCATCAGAGGCGCAAATTCCAGGAGAGACCCTCCTCTATTTGACCTGTTGGACGACCAACGTCCATTGGCACGGCATCTTGAGGAGTTGGGCCCTGGATTCAAGCAAACATTTAATTTTTCAGCAACGGAAAATCGCACCATGTTTGGCGCCAGGACTGCCATTAGCGCTGATGGGACTGTGGTGGCGCTTGCAGGTGATGGATTTGTGGAAGTCTACGAGCAAGTCAGTGGTGACAGTTTTGATGATTGGCGCTTGCGTGCAGTGAGAATCGCAACAACCTCTGGTACCTTGCCAAAAGCGATTGACTTGTCACCGGATGGCATGATCGTGGCAATAGGGCAACCAGACTGGAACAGCGCAAGAGGGCGTACTGATATTTACGCTTACAACACTACTGACAACACTTGGACTGATATTGGAAGCTGGTCTGGATCTGATCCCAATTACAAGGTCGGATACTCTCTGGCATTCCACAAGCCAGCACCCAATGCGCTTGGGCACTATGGCAATGGAGACACATTGGCATTAGGCATTCCTGGTTTTGAACTGGTTGGTGACCCAGGCTTTGAATATCCTCTAGGAGAAGTCTATCTGTTGTTTAGAAATCAGACGTCAGGGCGGTACTTTCTCAGTGAAGAAGTCCGCGGAAAAAGTTTAACAGGATCAGCTGATCAAGGACGTGTGGACTTCTTGGCATTTGGCAGTACTGTGGCCCTCGGAGGTACTGGGGAATATGTGCTTGCAGTGGGAATTGACACATTTAATACAGAACTTCGACCAGGCAGAGTTGTGGTCCTGGTATCGCCGCTTAACACGGAGGGTCAGTTTAACCTTTTGGGAAGTGAGATTGTTGGAGAAGGTGGAGGAGATGGCTTTGGGTCATCCATTGCTTTGAATCAATTTGGGACTATCATTGCAATTGGAGGGCCACTCAATGATGGCAGAAATTTTATCATGGCTGGACATGTAGAAGTTTATAGCTACAAAAGGGGGCTTGACGAATTCTGGGTGCAGCTGGGAGGGTGGGTAACATGTTCAAAGTGGATATATGTTTCTTGTGATGAGTGTGTGCTGGGTTTGTCATCCATCTTCTGACTTTTGGTCCATTTACCTTGCTAATTTGACTTTCATCAACAATCAGGGACATTGATGGATTTACCTTTAATGAGCAGTTTGGCTTCTCTGTGGCTCTGGATTATGATGGTGACACCCTCTTGATTGGAGCCCCCTTCTTTGGTGGTGGTACTACTGGCTTTGGTGATGATGCTGGCTATGCCACTGTTTTAGAATACAATCGGAATAGTGACGCCTGGTTTTTTGTTCAGATCAACCGTGATGAAAATCCCCTTACCCTTGAGGGTTCAGAAGGCTCCCGTTTGGGTCATGGTGTGGCCATGTCTGCCAATGGAGCCAAGCTGCTTGTTGGAATACCATTTGGAACAAATCAACAGGGCGTTGTTTCAGGGACTGCTGAATTGTGGCAAAACACAATGTACCCCACCTTTTCTCCAATTAACAATCGCCTTCCAGAGTATAATCCAAATGGGTCGGGCTCATTGGCGGGAGGTGTCTACTGGGTGACATCAAATGTGAGTCGAGCTTGGAACTCTGGGGTTGCTTTCATTCAATCAGTCTTTGGTGTCTGAAGGAAAGAAAGTTGAATGATGATTGTACTAGTATGCAAGAGTTCATAGGCGTCCTCTAGCGAGAAAGGCATTCAAGATCTAGTTTCACTTTACATCTATTGCAGGATAGATCTATTCTTTGGCCCTGAAAGAGCAGGTATTGCTAGCCATCTAATAGCCTCTCTTGAAGCAGCCAACAGGCATGAAAAGCATTCGCCATCAGCAAGCTAGCTAGTTCTATACGCGAAAGTCAAAGGTGAACTGTTGCACGGATCGGTAGATGCTGTCGCTTGACTGGCGCACATGGTTGAGGACGTAGGTTGGAGTGTTTGCACCGCCCAACATATCGGTCAAGAGGAAAATGTAGTAGTCCACCCATTCGGTGGGAAGACTTGGGTGATACCACAAGTGAATATCGGCACGCAAAACATGGGAGAGTGTCGAAGAGGACAGGAATTCGGTTTCAGTCCATTCCATTGTGACACCCACAAACGCGCCGTTCCTCGGTGCTTCTTGGGCATAGTGAGCTTGGAGGGAGGACTCGAGAAAGCTGCGAGTACTCTCGAGTAAACCTGCCAATTCCGCTGGTGTCGGTCCGCGACTGGCCAAGCCCGTTCCACCGTACGAGAAGACTCCAGGAGTTGTCGAGAAGACGTTGTTGTTGGAGGACAAGCTGCCCATGGGGTTTTGGGCTGGGGTTGGCTGCTGCCCATTGGCGGCGGTGGGGGCAGCAGCTGGCGAGAGTACTGGATTGAGAAAAGTGCCGCCTGTTCGGTCCTGCTGTGGGGCACCCATGGCGGACGGAGAGGCTGCTGGCGATGCTGGGGTCAACTCAATCGGAGCCGGCTGTGGCGCGTTGCCGTTGCCCATTGAGGAAACCTGCGAGACAAAGGTTGCCGGTTGACTTGTGTATTGGAAAACACTTGTCGAAGGTCCTATGATTCGGATGTATTGAGTGACAAAGGCTGACAGCTCATCACGTCCAATGTCCCCGATCAGTTCACTGAGATGATCCGTGGAAAGTCTCTGCTCGTTTTCAAGGACCACTAGGCAATTCAAACTGATGGTGTGAGGGCCAATGGAACGTGAAGGATCCCAAGTGGCCGCTGAAACTGTAGCCATGACTTCTTTCAAACTGGTTTGAGCACTATTGAATGATTCCAAGATTGGAAGAGTGTCTGTCAGCCATTGCGCCGTGGCTTGAGCCACTCCCCCGTATTCTCGCATCTTTGGCTGACGATCAAACGCTGAATTCACCTCAAGGCGCCAGACCAGCAGGAAAGGCAAGGTGCTTTCTTCCAACATGGATCTTTGTTGGACGTCATGGTCCAGGCTGACGGCATTGGTAGTTGGGCTCAAGTGAAAGATCATTGGCAGCACCACCGCTAGCCAGAAGCGCCGAATGAGTACCGAAAGAGGTGCCATGGTGACTTTTGCTATCTTCTCTTGATGTTGAAAGTTTTTTGATTTGTGAGTGAAATTGTGTTTTCGAATCTAAATTTGTGTGCCTCTCATCCTTCCGCAACGTATCCATCGCATACATGCATGTACCAGGTACTAGTACCAGTACCGGTAACTTAGCGAACTCGTGTGTTTCTTTGCCTTCACTGCACAGTCGATAAACGGATCATGTTCTAGGAGTGCCCAAATTTGTGGACGGAAACGCCAAGATCTTGTTTCGCCCCACTCTGTTGGACGTAATGCTGACATCACCCCGCAGGTTTCGCAAGACCAAAGTTTATCCATTAGAAATACTAGTAATAAGGATTACGTATGAATAGCACCAACGACGTATGCATATCGGTACCAGTACAGCGTATTATTAGTATGCACACAGGGGTATGGGGCAACTATAGGATTTACCAACTTAACACGGTACGGTAACAGTCTACATAACACAGCAGTTACGTACAGTTACGTTATGTGCAGTTACGTTACGTTCAGTTACGTTTTCCTATGGTATTTATGTACTCAAGTTACGTGCAGTTACGTGCAATTACGATGTGTTACGTACAGTTACGTGTAGTTACGCATAAATACGTATTTCGAAACACATTATCTCGAAATCCAGAAGTTGCCCCATACCCCAGTCTAAAACTGTACTCCGATTACCGTACGGTACTGCATTGGGGCATCTGACCAATGTCATGTCATCACAGTCATAATTCGCGCAAAGAGGGCGTAAATGCCTGGTCCAGAACCAACCCTTCATGATGCGAGGAGGTGGACAATGATTGCATGGGACCACAAACAAAACCATAAACACCACCACTTGCACAGAGAGAACCCATTCCAATAGAATAGAATCGAATCCAACATATCTCGTGAACCACACAGTACTGAATCCTCCTTTAAAACACAACAAATCTCTAAAATGACGAAAGTATTCTCTGGATTTCTTGCCCTTTGCTTTTCCATGGCGGTTTTCATGAAGATGCAGCTCACGACAGAGTATGTTGCTCTTTCACCAGCGGCAGCATCAACGAGAAGGACCCAGATGTGGCAACCGAAATCCCATGCCGTTTCTTGCCCCAACAAAGCCGCCACGTTGAACCGAACCATTTTCAAATCACAGGGAAAGGAGGACCTGGAATTGTTCAAATGGTTTGGAAAGTTATGCAACGGAACCTATATGGAAATGGGTGCCCTGGATGGAATCGAATTCAGCAATACGCACGCCTTTCACCATGGTCTCGATTGGAAAGGATTGCTTCTCGAAGCATCTCCCCGCAACTACGAAAAGCTGGTAAAGAATCGACCCAATGAATTGGCATTGGTTCATGCGGGCGTCTGCGCACAAGCCTCGGATTTGCATTGGGTCGAAGGAATATGGACCGCCACAGGAGGCTTTTTGGAATTTGCCACAGAGTTTCACAAAGAGAAACTTTTTTCTAAAAAACAATTGGAGCAGGCCCAAGTTGTCAGGTGTCGGCCTCTGAGGGATACTATCAAAGAAAAACTGGGAGAGAATGTGTATTTTGACTTTTACTCGTTGGACATTGAAGGTGCTGAGTACGCCGCCCTGGAATCCCTCGATTTTGACACGGTCAGCTTTGGCATGATCTTGGTCGAAGCCAATGGTCAGAACCCCATCAAAGATATGGCAGTCAAGACTCTGTTGGAGAGCAAGGGGTATCGATATATGCCCACAAATCAAGAAAATACCAAATTTGGGTCGTTGTGGTTCGTCAACAAGGATTGGCACAATATCTACAAGGATCTAATGTATGCATTATAGCCAGCCACAATACACTCTAAACAAAAATAAGGATCTTCTGGTCTGGTCGCCCCATGTGGCTAGCCAGCTGCGTTCTATGGCAGCCCGCGCGAATGCGATGACTGGGAACAGCTTCCCGTTCGTTTGCTCCACGGCCCAGTCTTCACGCCGGCTCCTTGGCCGGAGTGTGCTATATCCTTGCTAGACATCAGCTAGTTCTAAAGTAGCCTGTGGTTGGTTTACTTCCGTTCAACAAGAGATGATGGAACGTGAATTAAAATGGCTGCACTCGACGAGCAACAAGCTACAGTACCTGTACGTTTGGGTCGTTGCCATCCTCGATTCATCTGCAGCAACCACGGCTGACGGTATGTTTGGGTCGTTGCCATCGATTCATCTACATCAATCACGGCCTTCGGAACGGAGGAATTGCGTCCAACCTTCATGCTATTTCCCAGCCTCTTTGAATGATCACAGTCGAAGCATCATCATCGGTTCTTTCGAGCGTGCACCCGACTAGCTAGCCAGCGAGCCGAGTCGTCTGGCTTCTGCCCCGACGCACCTGTCACTCCCATCGACTTGCACAGCCAAGCAGCGTCCATTTACGGGACGGTAGGGTTGAGGTATTCGATGCCAGGGCACCAAACGAAGATCGAGATCTCTCAGGAATAAAAAAGATGCTCCCAGCACCGTACCGTAGCATCAATGTTGAGTCTCCTGGTTGTCGTGATCGCGGTATCACTGCTGCGGGAGAAGGCTAAGAAGACACACTACATGGCTCCCTGCACTGCACAAGGCTGGCACTTCACTTTGTTGTTTCTGCTGACGGCCTCTTTGCTCCTGAAGCTACTGCTGTTCTCAAACAACTCTCCCAGTTTTTGCTACTCTGTGATTTGCTCCTTTGTTAGCAGCTGCAATGTGCCTCCGTGGTTCTTGTGTTCCTGCTTCTACGATAAGTTCCCGGCATTGTGACGATTGAGGCGCTCTATTTTACACCCCTTCCTTGCCCCTTTCGTCCTTGTTGCCTTGTTCAGTTGGTCTGTAATCCCGGTTGTCCTGATCACGCCCTTGCACCTTGCCCTCATCCTGTGGAACCCATTCTCACCCATAGTCCACTCTAACCCATAGTAGCTTCAAAGTCAACCATCAATGATCAGTCAGGCATGGAGCGAGCATTGGCAAAAGAAGGAAAGTTTCAGTAGACTGGCTCTAACTAAACCCCGTTGTCGTGGACAGTGTGCCAAGAGCTCATTGCAGGCTTGATGGCTTCGGTTTACGTCACGACTATTACAAGCCTTTTCACAGTATCCACGTATGAAGATCAAGTCTGGTAAAGCACCATTTTTCCGGGCAGGAATTTATCACGCAACGGCCCTGTGGAGAGGGGGAGGCAAGATTAGCCTAGCTAGCTAGAACATAAAAACAGCACGCCCATTTGAACAAGAAAGGACCATTCCAATAGAACCTCGCGAACCGCAAAGTATCCTGAAAACCGAAACGACTTTTTAGCATGAAGAAACTACTCTCTGGATTTCTTGGCATTTCCATGGCAGTTTTTCTGAAGATGCAGCTCACAGAGCATTTTGAATTTCCAACGATGGCGAGCAGGAGACATAGCCGGCGCTCTCTTTCAACAGCATCAACAATAGCAACCAAGTGGCAACCGAAATCCCATGCCATTTCTTGCCCCAACAAAGCTGCCACATTGAACCGAACCATTTTCAAATCACAAGGAAAGGAAGACTTTGAATTGTTCAAATGGTTTGGAAAGCTATGCAACGGAACCTATATGGAGATGGGTGCCTTGGATGGTGTCACATTCAGCAATACACACGCCTTTCACTACGGTCTTGATTGGAAAGGATTGCTTCTCGAAGCGTCTCCCAAAAACTATGAGCGGCTCGTACAGAATCGACCGAATGAACTGGCATTGGTTCATGCGGGAGTCTGTGCAGAAGCATCGGATTTGCATTGGATCGAAGGGAAATGGGATGCTACAAGTGGATTTTTGGAGTTTGCCACGGATGCTCACAAGCAGAATTTCTTTACAGGAGGGAGATTGGAGCAGGCCCAAATTGTCCGGTGTCAGCCTCTGAGGGATACTATCAAAGAACAACTGGGAGAGAATGTTTACTTTGACTTTTACTCTTTGGACATTGAAGGTGCTGAGTTCGCCGCCCTGGAATCCCTCGATTTTGACAAGGTCAGCTTTGGCATGATTTTGGTGGAAGCCGATGGTCAGAATCCCGTCAAAGACATGGCAGTCAAGACGCTGTTGGAGAGCAAGGGGTATCGATACATGCCCACCACTCAAGAACACACCAGATTTGGGTCATTGTGGTTCATGAACAAGGATTGGCACAATATCTACAAGGATCTAATATATGCATCATAGACTGGCACAATAATACGCTAAACCAAGATATGGCAAGGATCTTCTGGTCTTGTCGACAACTGGTAGCGACTTGTTGTCATTCTGCTTGCTTGAAATCGCGGTACTATACGGCCCGTCGTTAGAAGGAGCGAAAGGGTGGGTGGCCACGGATCGACTGCCAGTATTGTGAAAACAGTATCCGTCAGTGTGACTGCCGTGACGGGCTTTATTTGAATTCTCCTTCCTAACACTACTATATGATAGCTAGCAGTCAGTTATCCAGCTAGTAGGCAGCAGCTTTTTCATGGCATCTTGTACACCACAATATCATATGGGTATGATAGCTAGCAGTTAGCTATCTAGCTAGCTGGCTATCTAGTATGCAGCAGCGTTATCCATGGCATCTTGTACATCCTTGGCATCAATCAACGAGAACCACTTGTTGCAGGCGGTCTGAGCCTGTTCCAACAGGGCAATGAGCTCGGTGTAGTCCCGTGGCTGTGGTTGTTCTTGTCGTTGTTGGTACTCCCACTCAGCCTTGGCATCGGCAACGGCAGACAGTACTTGGTTTCGATACAGATATCGCAATCCCATGTCCGAGGCAATGACTTGTTTGACATCGGGCAACGATTCGGATCGAATCATTTGCGAGCGGGTCGAGGAATCGACATTGAGGACGTACTTGTCGGCGGCGAAATTGAGGGATGTGGTGTACGTATTGAAGGCGGCTCGAAGTTCGTCGTCCTTTTCACGTTGCTGCTCTTGTCGTTTGAGTCGTTTCCAGGCATTGATTTCTCCATTTTGCACCAACGCGGCACCCGGTCGAGCGAGGAGATTGAGTTGGGATCGACCGGTGCGATAGGCGTCCAAGTACGGTTTGCCGGGTTGATTGGGAATGGGATTGACACCGTTAGTACCAAAGTTCTGGGGCTGCATCAGAAGCGCGTCCAGTTGCTGTTGGATCGCATCTTGTTGTGTTGACGTGTCTGCTTTGCTTGTTGTTTGCTGCTGCTGTAGTAACTCCTTGGTGAGCTCTAGAACTTTGTCAATCCACAGTTTGACTCGGACAGCGGGAAGCAGCGCTTCCGTCTTGGCATACGGTAGAGTGCCAACGGCAGTGGAACCGTCTCCTTTAGCATCATCTTTTGCATGAGCACTGGTGCCAAGCGAAAGTGTCGCTGTGGCTATGGTCGCAACGTCCACCAGCAGGGTCCGTCTTGGGAGGCAAGCTGCATGTAGTTCGGCATCGTCGCTCTCTCGTACCGTTATTCTTCCAGGACTAGGGTCGCCACTCGTCAGCAGTAGCACAACCACATGTATTATGAACATGCTGGTACTAGTAGAAGCAATCATCTTACTTTGCAAAAATACAAAATCAGAACAATCCAAGGACCCGTATTCTAGTATTCGTTGGCTCACGCTACGAGCTTGTTTGTTGTGGGCATGGCGTCGAACAGCGGAGCCAAAGATACGATCTTTCACAGCGAGGACAGTCACGAGAAAGAATGTGAATCAGTCCCGAGTGGCGCCAGGCGAAATGTTACTCCAAAATGCTCTCACTCAACTGATCGAACGTCGAAAAGACGAGCAAACATTCATGGAGATGGAGCGCAGATACTGGTACTATTAATACCACTACTACCACCGGCAGCCACTCTAGCTAGAGTGGTATGGCGATTTGCATTTTTAGTAAGGCCCACAACACTGACGTTGCTTGCGTACAGTAGTAGACAGAAGTATCTCTTCCTTTTTCATTCATCTCCAATCAACGATACAACAACAACAAACCATGCCCAAGGTTCTTCGTCCGAAAATATCAAGAAAAAAAGAGCCGCATGGAATGGCTTGGTGGTTCGTTCGTTGGGTGTTCCTTGGCCTCTGTGCTGTGGGAATCCGTCATGTATACCTATCCACCCAGGAGACCCAAGGACGATATTTGAGGGCATTTAATGAAATCTTGGATCATCCAACATATCATACTACTCAGGATTCTTCTTCTGCTGTCGCGTCTTCTACGACAACAACGGGGCAAGTGGGTGTTCCACTGATTCCTACCAATAATCCATCCAGTCCTTTGATTCGCAATGCTCTCTTGCAAATCCAATCTCTCAGCGCAGATAACATTTGGGATAGTCTAGTACAAGAGGCAGCGGCGTTGATGAAGAATCCTCCAGCACACCAACAACAACAAGAAACCACGACAGCTCCCCCAAGGTTCATGGCAATGGAGGTTGGTATGTTCCGTGCCAAGCAATGCTTCCACGCCGCTCGAATGGGACTCGAGGCACACTGTATTGAGCCATCTCCACATGCCTTTCAGCGGATTACGCAAGCACTCCGAAAGGAACCGGTGAATGTACAGACAAGGATTCATCTATACAACAATGCGGCAGCAGCATTGCCCGGACTCAAACTCAACTTTTCCGCCGGAGGCTCCCCAGGAGATCACGTGGGATCATACGATGTCTGGAAGATGCAAGCAGCAGCGGGAGCACCACCCACTCAGGTCGATTCCATTCGCTTGGATGACTTGATTGGTGAACTCATCCCACAGAAATCACACGACAAACTCTTTGTCCTCAAAGTGGACACACAGGGGTACGAGCCCAGCGTATTTGCCGGGTTGGAACACTCGGTCTTTCTGGAACATCGTGTGGACTATGTCATGTTCGAATACTGGCCAAAAGGAATGGATCTGTTGACTACGGGGGATGTCCACAAGAGAAGTTGTGTAGCGCACTTGATCTTGCAAGCCTTGCACGAGGCAGGATACACCCTTTATGCCTTGCCCAACACGGCTCATCCTCGAGCACCGAAGGAAGCCTTGGAAGCAATTGTGGCGGAACAAGCACCCATGAACAACTTTCAGGAAAATTGTCTTTATTACTATCAAGTGGAGGATCGGTTTTCCACTGGAGACTACAAAATGGGATATTGGTCCGACATGTTAGCAGTTGCACCTGGGGCGTCGTTGTTACAGAACCCAGTCACGGAAGTTGGTCAAATATTGCAGCAACAGAAACGATTGACATGAGTTTGGATGTGTTCCGAAATCCCCATTACAGTGTCACACTAACTATTATTATGTAATGTATGCGCAGCTACATACTTTCCTTCTGGTCTTCTTCTTCGTGCACTACTGGCTGCACCGCTAAATCACCCTGTGGACAGCTTAGGAAAAGAGTGACAACCACAGTTATTGAATGTAGATGGAACCTTCAAACTTGGCAGCAGAAGCCGATCTCAACATTCCCATCCCTCCCAAAAATGGAGTCGAGTCGAGTCTGGTCCATTGTGCACCAACGGGATGAGGCCAAAGATCCAAAGATATCGGGACAGTGCTGTGCGATCTTTTCAGAGTCGAGTCGTGGGTTGGCTCGAATCGTGAGTGCTCGTCTGTGGGACTTGGATACTTCGCACTCTCTCAAGCCAAAGCCCTTTTGCCCATTGAACAGAGGCTCTGAGCGGGCTAGCCACAATGACAACCCCACCACAACGAAACTCTACAGAAATGTTTCTCTGCCTCTGGAGTTGCATGCTGCTGTTGGCAACCGCTGTAGTTTGGGTCCTGATCATCACAACCACAACATCCCGTCCCACCTACCACTCTTCTCCATTTTCCACGACGTCGCCGCACTTTTCCACGGCCTCCTATCTCTATGTGGGAACTCGTAACTACAGTACCCATGATGGGATTCCACCAATGAGCCCCACACACCTCGTACAAGATAACTATCGGTTTTGGGTAGGTGGTGGCATGGTGGCCACGGACATTGTCATTGCCAATGTGGCTGATTGGAATATATCTGCTGCTGTGGAGGCGGCTAGCTTGAAAGCGGGAGAAAGATTCAACGACGAAAAGACACCGCTTCTAGTGGGAGCAAACGGAATCGATGACCAAAGGAGTCACATTTCCCTCCGAGAGGCACTTGCAACACTTGCCAAACAGGTGGAGCAGTTGCAAAAGCGGGCATTGATGCAGGAGAAACGGATTGTGATGCTAGAAGCAAGTTGCCTTCGGAAAGATGGGCAAAGTAGAAGTAGCAGTAGCTAACGACATGTAACTCGAACTGCACAGCCGGTGTGTTACTTTCGGAACCATTGATTCTGGAATCTAGCTAGCTAGGCTCTCATTGCCGCACCATGCTGTCTCAAGTTTGACGATGATTTCCTGCCTTGACGATCATCCAGACACTGCTCATACAGTACCTACTACAACCTTGGTGAGCTGCAGCTCGGAATCGGTGGATTCGATGATGCCATGACAAAGATCAATCGTGTTTTTGCCATCAGATTGTCAGTGTTGGGCGAGGATCATCCTGACACTGCATCCACCCACCTGCGGATTGGAAATGTGATGTTTGCCAGGGGCAACTTTAACAGCCAACCATCTCTTCCCGGCGACAAAAGCACCGAGTGGGGCTCTTTTTCGTTCGTTTTAATCCGTGAGCTTTCTTTTGATAAAATAAATCATTTGGTTCCTCATGTCTCGACTGTGCGTGAAGGTCGATTCGATTCGATCCCAAGGATGGATGCATCCACTTGTTCACCATGCAGCCATGGCGCTGAGTGGAAAGGGCGAGTGAGATCCGGGCCTCCAGAGAATGAACGAGTCGAGTCCAGTCAGCGTAGCGGCTCGTTTTCCGCACAAAAGCAAGCCACTTGGCTGGTTTCTTGACCGAGACGTTTCGCAATTTTAAAATAATGTCAAACGTAGAATGTATGTATTCTTTGTGACGCTGCTCCATTTGTGCGCGAGAAAGCTGACTGGGGTCGGCCTTAAAGTAGTAGACGGCAGCTAGCACCCGTCTGAAAGAGGTTTGTCGGTTGCAGATCGTCATGGCACGCGACCAAGAATCAGGTCAGACCATTGGCTTCTAGATAGGTCTCCTCCGTGGGCAATGCCTGATGATTCCTAGTAGTTGTCATGACTGCAGTACCCGTCAATTCCTCTTCGTGTTGTTGTTGTTGTTGTTGTTGCGGTTGCTGTCCCATGGGCCGTCCCGTTGTCTCGGGCAACTGACTGGAGACAATTCGGAGTATCCAACTGGCAATCAACATGGACGTTCCAATCTTCCAAGGTTGTTTGTCGGGCGACGCCAGAAAGGGTGCCAAAAAGGCTCCAATGCGTGCGACGGCATTGGCACACGAATGTCCCGTAGTCCGCAATTGTGTGGGCAGTAATTCGGCCGTGGCAATCCAGACACAGAGACTTCCACTGTAGACAAAGAATCGTGCCAAGAATGCCCAGACGATGCGTTCCAGTCTTGTCGTATTAGTAGAAGTGCGTAGACACAAGACGAATACCAAAATACCGCCGGCTGTAAAGTACTGTTTCATGCAGTACATGCGACCCCACCGATCGACGGTGAATTTGACCAATGTGACACCCGCCAATTCGGCACTGGAGGAGACAATCATGGCCAGGTAATCAAAGGAATGTGGATTGTTGTCAGTGTCAGTGTCACTGTCATTGTTATTGTTGTTGTAGAATGCCAATGTGACGGCAATGACAGTCCCGTAATACAAAAAGGCATAACTTCCCCAGAGACACCACAGCAGGAGGGTTGTACGGCGCCATTCGGTGGACAAGAGATCCGATACGTTGGCTTTTTGCTCCTGGCATTGGGCTGGTCGCAATTGCACTCCCGGAGGAAACACGTCGTCGCCGTGTCCATTGATATGAGCGGCCTGCCGGAGTATATGGAGTGCCTTTTCGAGAGCGTGTGGTGATTGTTGTTGCTGACACAGCCATCGAGGAGACTCTGGGACGACAAAGACACCGACAATGGCGGATATGACGCAGGGAATGGCACAGACGGCCACAAAGACTCTCCAATTGCTGCCAGAATGATCAGTTGTTGTGTCCAACGTGAGAGAGGCCACAATGGGTACGAGGAGAGACGCCCCACACCAGTAATATGACGGCGCGACCAATCCCTGTCCTCTGGAATGAGTGGGCATGATTTCTGCCAGTGTATCAAAGGGGACGGTAATCCCTCCAATGCCCACCCCCACCAATCCCCTCGCTACCAAGAGTTGTGTGTACGTTTGCGTCAATGCCGTTCCCATGCCAAAGAATGCAATGATAGATGCCGTGAGAACAAACAAGGGTTTGCGTCCGAATCGATCCGCCAGTCGCCCCAACACCAATGTCCCGATAAAGGCACCCCCGAACAGACTGGCAAAAATGCCACTGAATTGATGGTCGGTCAAATTCCACTCGGTTTGCAGCACTACGGACAGGAACGACAACAAGAGAATCTCCAAGGCATCCGAGGCAAAACACAATCCCGCCGCCACCGTAATGCGATGTTGGAAACGGCCATAGCCAATGCGGTCTGATGTAGCATGTGTACCGGTACACAGTACAGATGAGAAAAAGGCAAAACAGTGTCTTGTGATCAGACATAAGTTTCATGCATGGCGACATCACTCGACTCACCAATGGCTTCATCAATGGAAATGGTTACAAGAGCCTCCATTTCCTCGTCATCGTCATCGCCAGCGGACAGGGATGCCGTGTCGGCAGTGTTCATCAGCTTGGCCGTGGCATCATTTCTTCTTCCATTATTTGTCGCTTCGGAACTGCTACTACATGTACCGTTAGTACTCGGATTCTCACCATTCATCTTGCTGCCGCCACGAGCACGAGTGCTTCGCCGATACATACAGTACAGTAGAGTAGAGTCCTTACTGGTATAGCATAGCACAGCAACGCATCAATCAGGGTACAGAACCTGCTTTTCCGTTCCATGAGTGCGCCTGATTTTGTGCTGCGGAGAGGAAGGTACCAAGGTCTTTCGTCTCGGTGTGCCCTCTCGGCTTGGGTCTAAAACGCTTTTAATTAAACAGCTTTGCCGTCCTACATGTAAAAGGGCACGCTTTTGAAAAGATCTCGATCGCGACGAGACATGCGTTTTTGGTCAAAACGGCAACCGCGGACCGCGGATCCTTGAGATGACGCGTGTGCATCAGTACAAAGCTTTCCCCCCAGCCATCACCAGCATACATCAAGCAGTCTGCATGCCCCAATCGACCCACAATAGCATCAGAACCACATTTGAGCTAGCCTAGCTATTAGCTAGTGACAAGATGTCGGCAAAGGAACAAATCCCAGCGGTAACTGGTGCTGAAAACTCTCCTGACGACAAAAGGGAATCTCCTGGCATCACGGAAAATCTCCGCCTACGGGTTCTCCTTCTTATTCTCCTCCGGCCAAAAAAGCTAAAAGAGCCATACGTTCGCCCAAGGACCCGGTGCAGCTGGACACTCTAGGTGTAAGTGTCCACCACCTCCAGCACATTCTCCTGGAGAAAGAGGTTGGCATGGCAAAAAGGAATGCCATTACAGGAAATTTTCTTTCGAGACACTCCAAAATCTATGAAATTGAGAATCTAAGAGGTCCTCCTGGGGTCATCCGAACAAAAGGAGCCAACACTGTTTGCCCAATTGATGGAAGATTGGGAGCTGCCTATGTACACACTCTACAAGGAGAAGACCATGTTGGAGAGGCCACTCATATGCTCAGTTATTCGTGGGATTATTCGATTGGAGATATTGTGGATACCCTTTCTGATTTCTGTCACCAGCACAAGCTCCACCCAAAGAGAACGTATATCTGGATTTGCTGCCTCTGCGTCAATCAACACAGGGTTGTAGAGAATGCTTCTAATGAGGACAAGTCGGGAATGATAGCCCCCGTCGACAACATAGATTTCTTTGCCATCTTTGGAGAGCGAGTCAAAAAGATCCAACATTTGTTGGCAATGATGGCTCCTTGGGGTGCACCAGTGGCGCTGACAAGAGTTTGGTGCATTTTTGAGATCTTTACGGCTCACACTACAGACGGATGCAAGCTGGACATTGTCATGCCACCCAAAGAAAAGCATTCACTAGAACAGGACGTCATCAAGAATGGACAAGGCATCAATGCGCTATATGAGACACTTGGTAAGACCAAAATTGAAAATGCCAATGCATCCGTCGAAAGTGACAGGGTAGCCATCCTGAGAAAGGTGGAGTCAGATGTTGGGTATTCAGCACTCAACAATTTGGTCAATGACTTGTTGCGTGGATGGATGCATGGTGTTTTGACTCAATTGGTGGAGAGTAGAGAAATTACAAGAGATGAGGAATATGTGGATTTTTGCAATCAGATTGGATCTATTCTTGGCAAGAATGGAGAGTATGATGCAGCTATAAAACTCCATCAGGCTGCTCTGTCAATTTCTGAGACTGCTTTGGGTGATGACTATGCGAGAACTGCCACCAGCTATCATAACATTGGAATTGTAATGATGAATTTGGGTGACTGTGAAGGCGCCCTTTCAGCTTACAATGAAGCCCTTGCCATCAGATTGTCAGCGTATGGTGAGAGTCATCCTGATACAGCCGAATCTTACAACAGCACTGGATGTGTACTTCATGCCAAGGGTCTCCACGAAGGTGCTTTGTCAAGGCACAATGAAGCTCTTGCAATAAGATTGTCGATTTTGGGCAAGAATCATCCCTCCGTGGCAACAACCTACAGTAACATTGGAGCAGTTCTCAAATCCCAGGGTTGCTTTCAAAGTGCATTGTCAAAATATAAGGATGCTCTTGCCATTAGATTGTCAGCACTAGGCAAGGATCACCCTCTTGTGGCAACCACATACAACAATATTGGTTCTGTCCTGGGTGATATGGGTGACAATGAAGGTGCCTTGTCAAAGTTCAACGAAGCTCTTGCCATTTTTGAGTCTGTATTGGGCAAGGACCATCCTGATGTGGCAACCAGCTACAACAATATTGGGGCTGTTCTGTTGAAAAAGGGTGACAATGGAGGTGCCTTGTCCAAATTTGCAGAGTGTCTTGCAATTTGGAAGCCTGCATTGGGACTGCATCATCGCAATACCAAGGGTTGCCTGGAAATGATAGAAAGTGTCAAGGCAAAATTATCAACCAGCTATTGCACCTCGATCGAGATGGGTGACTGCTCTGGAGTCTTAATGAAATACGAGGAATGTCTGGCAATAGAAGAGTCAGCATTGGGCAAAGATCATCCCTCAGTGGCAACCAGTTACAACAACATTGGGCTTGTACTAGAAGACATAGGTGACTATGAAACCGCGTTGGCAAAGCACAAGGAAGCTCTTGCCATTAGATTGTCAGTGTTGGGCATGAATCATCCTGATGTGGCAACCACCTGCAGCCAAATTGCTGTTCTATTGTACCGAATGAAAGACTATTCTGGAGCCTTGGTTAAGTTTGAAGAGTGTCTTGCCATCAGGGAACATGTGTTGGTACCCGATCATCCTGATACAAGGAATTGCCTGAATTGGATTGAAACCATAAGGGAAGAGTTGGAAGTGCAGTCACTAATAGCAACGGGGGGTTTAGAGTAGTTAGATTTTCTATCGAAGCCAGCAGGGCCCAGGCAAGTATGGCTTTGGCCTGGAAATTGGTAAGATTGCAAGGCAGCATTTTGGAGAGTGTATAGGATCTTAGCTACCAGCTAATATACCGTCTATTCTTGGTCCTCAGAACAAAGATAGCTCAAGACCATGATGAATCCAGCAAAGAAGCCGAGGTGGATACGTCGCCAGTCAACACTGTGAGGGATTGCATGGATTACTCAGCGTTAGAATACAGTACTTACTGATGACGCATATATAAGGGGGTTTAGAGGAGGGAAATTAGCTACGGAAGCCAGCCGGGGCCAGGCTTAAGCAAAGAACAGTCGAAATTCAGGACTAGGTTCGGAGGGATCAGGGGCAAGAAATTGAGG